ATGCCAGATAGGAGATACCTTCTTTTGAGTTGTTGGCCAGGGTAGCCAAAGGGATTCCCAGATAGTAACCCAGCATAGAACTGGAAAAATGAACAGCAGACCCCAATCTTATCTAAAGGAATATTGTCAACTGATTGCTGCTAGATGAAGAAGATCTGATCTTCCTAATTCAAGGAACTCTAGATAGACTGTCTAGACTCAGCAGATGGACAAGAACTAGGAAACAGCTGGGGGCGCCGACAACACAGCAGAGAGCAGCCGGGATATCAGAGTATAAGGGCTCTAGTGGGGCCAGGGAGGCTATGGGAGGGTGCCATATGGGAAGTGGGTTTACAGTTGAATAAGATGGTTTGGGATGTTCTGTGTGATACACACACACACACACAAAAAAAATCAACAAATTTTTAGAAGTGTATTTTATTTGAGGAAGAAGCATGGAAATTTATGTAATGTTAATTGGTAGAGGTGATAAACATTACCATTGAAATCTACCTGATGACTTTATTAGACATACACAGGCGCCATGGATTCAAGTGCAACCGATGATGACTAGTAATAATCAGATACATACAGATTAGGCGTGCATGTGCGAATATTGACAACTGATTGCCGCTAGATGAGGAACAGCTGACCCTCCTAAAACAAAGACCTCTAGGTAGGCTGACTTGATTCACCAGAAGGGCAAGTAGTGGGGAATGGCTGGGGGTCCTGACAACACAGTGACAGTAGCAGGGATATCAGACTATAAGGGCTCTCGCAGGGGGAGGGAGGCTATGGGAGGATGCTATCTGGGAAGTGGGTGTAAAAATAAATAAATTTTTTAAAAATTATTAAAAAATTCTTCAAAGCATAAAAATTTGCTCCTTAATAATTGGTGGATGTGAAAAACATTACCATTGAAATCTACCTGATGACCTTATATCCATGCTCAGATGCCAAGGAGCTCAGAAAGTAACCAACACTAACTAGTAATAATCAGATATATAGAGATTAGAAACGCATGTGCAAACATCTTAATGTCAATTGCATCTTTTTTAAAAGTGAAGTCATTTTTAAAAGACTTAAGGTACAATGTCTGGGGAGAGCTGCATAAGATAAACCCTTGAGAGGGTCATGGTGAAGCTCGGCCTGTCAGAGGCCCTGGGCATGCTGCACTGAAGGCTCAGGCAAAGCTTCTGGTCACTCAGCATTCCCTAACATCGGTTATCCACTGGGTCCTTCTGTCACACTGTAAATATTCTCAACCCACCCAGGAGCACCACGACACACACTTTGAGAAACACTGCTAGGCCCCAGGTGTGATATGTTTGTTCTTATTCCACCTCTGAACTCGTCGTCCTTTGGTTATCACCATCACATCGGTCCCACAGCCAGGTTGACCCAGAAACCTCAGGCCCTTTAGTGTTCCTCTGCTCTCAGCCTGACCCCAGGGCTGTGTCCTGCCTGCTTCCTTTCTCCCTCAGTGCAGGAATCAGTCAGGTGCCTCCTCCGGCCAGGGAGGCCAGTGATAAAACTCTGCCTTCTATCCTTAGGGAGAAAAAGGTGATGCTGGCAATGCCATTGGAGGAGGTAGGGGGGACCCAGGTCCCCCAGGGATCCCTGGACCCCCAGGGCCAAAGGTGAGTCTTTACTAGGATCTGTATCACAGAGATATGGAGTCCCAAGGAGAGGCAGCTAGACAGCATCAGATGAACAGGCACAGAGAGACAGGGCCAGATAGATGTAGGCAGATAGACAGGGGAGATAGACAGGAGAAGATAGGCAGGCACAGAGAGGGGCAGATAGGGGAGATAGACAGGAGAAGATAGGCAGGCACAGAGAGGGGCAGATAGACAGGGGAGATAGACAGAAGATAGGCAGGCACAGAGAGGGGCAGATAGACAGGGGAGATAGACAGAAGATAGGCAGGCACAGAGAGGGGCAGATAGACAGGGGAGATAGACAGAAGATAGGCAGGCACAGAGAGGGGCAGATAGACAGGGCAGAGGGGCAGGAGAGTGGGGCTGCTGCCTCCCCTAGAGCAACAGCTCCTAACCTAACCCAGCAGGAGCAGCAGCTTCACCAAAGGCAGTTGCAAACCCTCCCCCAGGGTACTAGGGCATAGGGTTGCCACAGCTTGGCTCTCAATGGGGGTTTGGGGATGCCTGGTCACCATGTCTGTATCCTGAGATAAAGGGGAGTTAGAACAGAAGGCTGTGTTCCCGGCCAGGCCAGGCTTCAGGGAGGGTTTACCTTCTGCCTGTTCTAAAGGAATCTGTATCCCTGGACCCTGCAACCTTCACCTTCTCCAGCCTCCTGCTCTACATGGGTGACTTTCTAGTGGGTTCTAGAAAGGTCATGTGAACCAGGCTTCTGCTTCTAGGAGAAATGTCTCCTGGGGGCAGATGGATGGTCTTATTGGCTCAGATCAGGGATGGAGCTATGAAGCCTCAGCCAAGAGAGGTCAGGGGTCTCCGGGTCCAGCTGGGGTGGAGGGGTGAGACTTGGCCTCTCTAGAACCGGTGCTTTTGTATGTGTGTCTTCGTTCGTTTCTGGGATTCAGGAGAAGGAAGGGTGTGTCTTCCAACTCAAAGAAGGCATGAGTTACTCAACGTTATTAGTGGTAATGCACATGTTCCCTGCACTAGTGTTCATCAGGGACCTGCCATGGTGGTAGGACTGCACAGACTGGCTTAGAGGTTGAGTGTAGAGAGCATAGGAGCCTGGAGAGAGGCAGGATGAAGTGGCAGGCAGGGGCTCTAGCCAAGCCCCATGTACCGTCCTGACTAGCTTCCTAGCAGGTGCAACAGCTTTGACAAAGGCAGCAGTCCATATCCCAGGCTTGGGACCACAGGGCATGGGGCTGCTGCAGCTTGGGTTCCAATGGGAGCTTGGGGATGCCTGGCCACCATGTCTGTGCCCTATGACACAGGGGAAGGAGAGTTAGAAGGCTGGTTCCCCAGTTGTAGTCCACTAATAAGAGAAGCATCACAGTGACATCCTCACACCCACCTTTTCCCTGTCTCTCATCATGGACTCCTGGGGATCCTTCCCCAAGTTCCCAGAGCCCTCATGTACCCTCTCTGTTGCTCAGGCAGGGAGGACCCTGTACAATGTGTCTTTCCAAGTGTCCACACCATCAGGATGACAAGCCACAGGGCTGTGAGGGCTGTTGGAACTGGGCCTGGCATGCTAACCAAGGACTGACGAGGGCCAAGCAGGGCAGGTGGGCAGCAGTGAATGCCCAGAACTCAGAGGAGGAAGAAAGTAGACAGGGAAGGCTTCCAGAAGGAAGGGGGCCCCAGGCCATGTCCATACAGCAGAGTAGAGTCTCCAGGAAAAATGCTGTAAGTTCACAGAAGCCTGTGAGAAAAGAGAGGCACAGGTTCTATGCCCAGAACATAAGCAGCACTATCTTGTGCCCCCACTGCCCACTGTACCAGTACCCTTCTGTACCCTCACACCATCTCTCTCACAGCATCTCTTTCCTTCTCAGGGAGAAGCTGGTACTGATGGCCAGGCTGGGCCCCCAGGACAGCAAGGAGAAAAGGTAGAGTCTTCACAGCCGAGAACTTCAGGGTAAAAGTGACTTCAGGAGTTCAAACACAGATTAGAAAAGTCAGCCTTCCCTCGTCTGCCTAGACTCCAGGGCTGACCCTAGGCTGGCCAGCTATGATCCCTGACTTCCATCTTTCCTGATTGCTTGGACCACCCACTGAGGCAGTGGGCATGCACAAACTAGCCCAAGGATGGGACACTTAAGCTGGGTAGTGAGTCTGACCTGGCTTCTGGTAGCTTCTCAAGTCCAGGTCTAAGCAATGCTCTCCCTTCCTTCCATCTACCCTTGTCCTTCCCAGGTACACAATGACAAAAATGCTGGGGTGGGAGAGACATAGAGGGTGGCTCCCCAGAGAGAGCAGTGATGAAGTCATCCGACTTAAGACAAATCATTTGCTTTCCCTTTATCTTTGACTTTCTGTGGTTTTTTGTTCTGGTTTTCTCTTCTGAGTTCACATTATCCCAAACTAGATGTGGTTTTTCAGTTGACATCACTGTCCATTTGCTCCCTGTGACTTGGGTCCTGCTTCCAGTAGGAGCAACCCCAGGCCTTGGCCCACTCTGGGATGTCAGCATCTCTCTAGCTATTCCCCCTGACTTCTCTGGCCCCTGTCATGTTTCGCCCTGTAGTTTCAGTCTGTCCCAGGGAGAGTGGTCCCTAAAGAACCATGTGGACTCACTGTGGCGATCACTGAGCCCCAGGCAATGGCCCCATGCCACCTCTGCAGAAATGAAATCAGGGGAAGCAGAGGGCTTGGGTCCCTGCTGCCAAGGATGGAGCTGGTGTTAGAGAACTGAGAGGTGGCCAGAAGGACAAAGGAGAGTCACAACACAGGTCTAAAGGAATATCAGTACATGCAGAAGCAGTAGGGCCCCAAGGAACTCAAAGGAAGAGAGGAGTGTGGGCAGGTGTTGAGGATGTTTCTGGAAAGGGGTGGAGCCTGCACTGTAATGGACAGGGAAGTTTGTGTGCTGTTGGCTCAAGCTAAGATGAATGAGTCTCCTGGCCCCTCCATGGCCCTTCAAGTGTCACCAATTTGAGGACATCAGGTGTCCTTGCATCCAGCTTTATCTGCCAATTTTACTCATTCTGTCATGCAACAGGGGCAGCCAGGAGCCACTGGGGAGAAGGGACCAGCTGGCCCCAAGGTACGTGCGTTTCTCACCTGGAATAACAATGTAAAGAGGCTTGACCCTGGGTCTTGAGGGGGCAGGAAGGGAAGGGCATGCTGGCCCCAGGAGGGAGGTCAGCATGGGCACAACGGTTAGACTCGGCCATCTCCAGGCCTGTCTAGTCCCAACTACTCATTTGCTCTGCAAAGCCTTGAACATCCTGTCAGGCAGCCCCAGATGCTCTGGGCCACCCTGTGTGCCAGCAGGTGCAGGAGCAACCACCATGGGCTGCAGGCCTTCAGGCCCCTTCTGCCCCAGGCTCTGGCTGAGAGCACCTCTGTCTTCCAGGGCTCCAAGGGTGAACCAGGCAAGGGAGAGATGGTAGATTACAATGGAAACATCAATGAGGCTCTCCAGGTAAGTGGGCTCCACTCTAGAAGCTGGAAACCTGAAGATCCTAGTGGACCTCAGCCTTGACCTTCCTCAAGGTTATCTTGCGTCCCTACAGCCAGCCGTTAGGCTGAGCTTCCAGGAAAAAGTAGCTCCTCTGCTTTCCCTGGTTTAGCTTCTCACTATGGGGCCTCTAGGTAAATGACTCCATTATTTGGCATCAGGTGACCTGGCTCAGTGACTGGGACCTACTGAGAGCCCTATTGGGAACAACATGGCACCCATAAGGTGCCACCCATCTGGAGCTCTGGGGACCCATCACTCCTGAACACACAGCTCCTTCTTCACATGGTAGGCTCTGCCTCCCTAAAACAACTTGCTTTTTCATGAGTTTCATCCTGAATTATGAACCTTTCATCCCATAAGTGGGTGCCTGTAGCTTGGCAGTATTATCCGTTGTTAGGTCATCATGGTAGCCCATGGAGAAGCTTTCCCATGTATTGAAGAATTTTCAACAGTATCTCAGCCCACTAGACTTGGTAGTACCCCACCAAAACATACCTCCAGACAGGACCAAAGCTCCCCTTGAGGGAGGTGCAGAACCACAGCAGGTTGAGAACCACTGCTTAAAGGAATCTGTGTATGTGTGTGAAGGCATGTACAAGGTGTGAGATTCCTTGTTAAAGCCAAGGAGCTGATCTGCTTATTAAACAGGTTCGTACTTTGCTCTAATAAAGTTATTTAAAGGAAGTGCTTTGCTAGGCTGAACTCTGGGCTCTGGGAGAAGAGGAAAGAGCATGGGAGGCTCCAGCAGGCAATTTAGGAAGAACAAGAGGTTGTTCATCCTTCTCGCCTTACATTAAGAGATTGGACTTCACATTAGGTGGGTCTGGTCCATGTTAAACAGCCATCTAGATGTTCTCCATCCAGATAACAAAACTTTGAGGGATGTGGGGGTGGCATAGGGCTGGGAGCCACAGAGCTCACTTGTGAGGGTCTTCCTCCACCCGACTCCTTCAAGATGTGACAACTCAGGGACCTGCCAGGTGACCCTGATGTTGCTCTCCAACTAATTGCACGGTGTTGTTTTTCAGGAGATCAGAACACTGGCCTTGATGGTAAGTCTCCCTTCTCCCTGGCTTCCCTCAGGCACTGGGCTGAGCACTCAGTATAGTCTAGAGTTATATGACCCCCAGAAAGCATTCTCTGGGTTTCCTGGCCATTGCTGGTAGAGGGACAGGGACAGGACCAAAGTGGGGCTCTAGAGCTGTGTGCCCGGCACTGCAGCCAGCCTGGGTGACTGCTCCTCACCTATCCAGTGGTTCACACAGAAGGGCTCTGTTTACAGAAACACCAAGGAAACAGCAGATCCAGGAGAATATTTTTTGTTTCCTTTTTTTCTGAAAAAAGCAAGTAGCAACTCTCCACCTGTCCCCTTATCTAGAACTTGGTCTCAATATCTACACTTGGGAAGACCTGCGAATCCCACACTGGGTTTTGCACATGTGCCTACCAGCAACAAGTTCCCAGGAAACATTTGTAGTTATGACAACCATCACCAAGTTCAAGCTCCAAGTAGGAAGAGGAAGGAGCATAAAGTTCTCAGACTCTGGAAGTCTCAGTTCACCTAATAACTTTTTGTGGCCACATGCTCAGCAGGATGGCACATAGGTGGCTCACATCTGTAATCCCAGAACTCAAGAGGCAGAGGCAGAAGAACCACCACAAGTTCGCAATGGTCTACATCGTGGGTTCCAACCAGCTGGAACCATCTAGAAAGACCTGTCTCAAACAAACAAATAAGAAAACAATAAACCAAAAACACCCCTTCTGGTGATACCCCAGCCCTGGATGCTGTCACAAACTATGTGATTCTGGAACCAATGAACTTCATTTGGGAACATCTAAATATGTGATTTAAAATTACTTTCGGGACTAGAGGGATAGCTCGGTCTTTAAAGTGCTTGCTTACCTTTCAAGCCTGTGTGCCTGAGTTTGATTCCCAGAACCCACACTAAAAAGCTGGGTGTTGGACCAGTAAGATGGCTCAGCAGGTAAAAGGGGCTTACTATGTAAGCCTGCTGACCTGAGTGTGATCCCTGGAACCCATAGTGGAGGAAGAGAACCAACTCAACAAAGTTATTCTCTACCTCCATGCATGCATGCACACAAATACACACACAATACAAACACACACATCATACACATACAGTTTTTTTAAGCCAGCCACGGTGGCATGAGCTTATAATCCCGAGGCATAGGCAGTTGGATCCCTGAGGCTCACAGGCCTGCCAGCCTAGCCTACTTGGTGAGCTCAAGGCCAGTAAGTCACCTATCTGAAAAAAATCAATATGGTGGGGCTAGAGAGATGGCTCAGAGGTTAAGAGCGGGGTGGTTAACAATCATCTATAACTCCATTTCCAGGGAATCCAGTGCCCTCTTCTGGTCTCTGTGGGCACTGCATAACATGGATGCACTTACATACATGCAGGCAAAATACTCATACACATTAAAAAAATACATTTAAAAAGATGGATAGTGACTAAAGAAGACTTCTAGGGCTGTCCTCTGCCCTCCACACATAGTACACAGACACACCACACACACACACACACACACACACACACACACACACACACACAATCTATCAGAAACAAAATTTCTCTGAAAGCAGCATATTTAAGATGTAGATTACAATAAAATCTATCCATTTTAAGTTTTTACACATGTGTATATTAGTAGCTCCCACCCCAGTAGCTGCATAAAATTTCCCCATAGGTCCTAAGAGTCAGTCCATACACCCATCCCAACCGCAGATCACTGTGACCGACTTGCTGCCACTATAGGTTACACTTGTTTTTTCTAAAGTTTACTGCAGTGTGTAGCCGCCTATCTCGGGCCTCTTATATGACATAATGTGCCTGGTAGTCACTCCTGTCGTTGCATGGATCCGTGCTCGGTTCCTTTTCCCTGAGTAATATGCCATTGAATAGACAAACCAAGAATTCACCCGTTGTGGATATTTGAATTGTTTCCTATTCCCTGTTGGGGAAGGTCAGATTTCTGTCCCTGGAGGGAGGGAGAAGCTGTTTGGTATGGCCCTCTGCACCCCAACTCTAGCCCAAATACCCCAGGGCTCATCTGTTTGCACTTTGGGGTTCTTCATGTTATTTGATTTGTAGGGGAAAAGAAGGCCTGGGGAGTGTAGTTCAATTGGTAGAGTACTCATCTAATATGCAAAGAGCCCTAGGTGCATAAAACTAGGTACAGTGATGCATACCCAAAATCCCAGCACTTGGGAGATAGAGGCAGTAAAATCAGAAGTTCAAGGCCACTCTCAGCTATATAGTGAGTTCAAGGCCAGCCTGGGCTACAGGAGACTCTGTCAGGTAATAAGAAATATTAGATAGATGATAGATAGATAGATAGATAGATAGATAGATAGATAGATAGATAGATAGATAGATTGATAAGTAGATGATGGATGATTGGTGGATGATAGATTAGACAGATAGGTAGATGATAGATAGGTAGATGATAGATGATTAGATAGATGTTAGATGATAGATGATTGATAGATTACATAAATAGATGATAGATAGATACAGATAAACAAACAGAGATACATGTATGTATGTATTTGTACTACTGAGGAAATGTTATATTTGGAAAGGATTGATCCCTATAAGCCAGCTTCCACATCAGCCTCTGGTGACAGCCACCCCTCCTGCTAGAAAGTTCTTTCTTTCCTTTCTAGGGGCCTCCTGGTCTACCTGGGCAAACAGGCCCACCCGGAGCTCCAGGGACTCCAGGCCAAAAGGTAAGACCCTATAAGGTCGCTGCATCCCTGAACACATGAGCCCAGGGCCTCGCTTGTCCTGTGACCCACTCATCTCCCCAGGACCACTACCACATGCTGCCTGTCGTTTCTTCCCATGCTCAGAACCTTGGGCCCTGTTGCCCACCACAGCACCTCTCACTCCCCAACCCTGAGCTTTGCCACACTTCCCTACTAACTAGTCTTGGGTCATGTATATCAGAGAACCCCTTAAAGAACATGGACCCTGGAACGTACCCCTGGTCCTGGTCACCAGACCCAATGCCTTTGCTTTTATGCTGATGCTCTGCCTGCCCATCCCTGGGCTTCTCTTAGATGGATTCTTGGGTTTCCCCTTCTGTCCTCTGCCCATGAGGTCCCTGCTCTGCAAGCCCCTTCCACATTTCATTTCTCTGTCTTTCAAAGACTTCTCATCTTCCAAACCTAACTTGAAAGCCACCTTGTCCAGGAAGCCACCCCTGACCCATCAGGCAGAGTTAGCCGCCTCCCTCTTCTGTTCCCTCAGGCCCTCCTACATCATGTTAGCACACCCTCTCCACCCTCCCCTACCTAAATGGGGAGGGGGGATATCTTGGATTGTTGTGAAGAGGATAAGGCTCACCCTGCCCCCCTGTGAGCAGCCAGGATAGGAAAGTTAGGCTGTGATGGATCCATGTGCCACTCAGGGTTCAGACAGCAGTGAGAGACTGGCTAAAGCATGGATGATGCCCAGGCCCCCTTCATCATTAATTGTGGGCCTTGGGTACACACTGTACTTTGGGGTCCTGATCTGTAACACCAAGACAACAAAACGGATACCTCCCAGGACTTCAGTGAGAATTAAAATGCTCCAAGCCAGGGGCAGGGGTTGGAAGGCCTGGCACCAAAGAGGCATTTGTGAACAACCGACATTACTGTCTCTGCTCTGAGTAACTTCTGTTGCTCCTGCCACAGGGGGAGATTGGACTGCCAGGCCCCCCGGGACATGATGGTGATAAGGTAAGTAGAGGCCTCCGCAGCAAGGCTTCTGCAAATGGTCCTCGCCCTGGCATGTGGACGTGAGGCATCAGGAACAGGCCCAGCTGGGGAAAAGAAGGAGGGGGCACAAGGAAGGGGTCCAGGCTTCACTTGGCAGAGCTAGCCCAAGGGTCTCTTTGTCAGCTCTCATCCAGCACCATGGAGCCCAGTCCTTCCAGCACCGAGCCTTTTTTGATCTTCCTCCCTCCCTCCCTCCTCTTTTCTCCATGAATGTGCCTAAGAAATGCCATTGACATTTCTATAGGGACCTCGAGGAAAACCAGGAGACGTGGGCCCCACTGGCCCCCAAGGACTCCCTGGGAAGGATGGACCTCCAGGAATGAAGGGAGAGCCTGGACCCTCAGGGAGCCCAGGAGAGAAAGGAGAGACTGGACAAGCAGGCCCCCCGGTGAGTGGTGGGGCTGCTGGAACCCTGCATGCACCACCTCCATCCTGATGTGGGCTGTGCATGCCATCAGCTGCTCCCCCGAATTCAGGACATGGGAATTCACTTGATGCCACCCCTATGCCACTCACTCCATGAAGGCTGGTTTCCTGTGGTATTCTCATTCAGGAGACCTGACTCCTGTGCCTGACTTTACCTGTGTCCTTGGGAGAGTCACTGAACCTTGCAGAGATTCAGTTTCCCTTTCTCTGAAATGGGAGTAACAATGCCTTTCCTGGATCCCCTCAAGGGTTGTTGGAAAAGACGGTCAGGGGCATGAGCCTGCCTCTCTGGAAACATAAAGAACCCCTACATCAGATGAGGTTGCATGAACTGAAAGGGTCCCTGACTCAGGCAAGCTCAACCGCTAGCTTGGCTGGGGCACTTTCTCTAGGCCTTGGATACCCGTCCTCGGAGGAAGGGAGCCACATGTGTGCATGCCACAGATGGTCACATTTGCTCAGCTTTATGACCTTGGGCTTCACTAACAGAGACCTTTGTCGATCTATAGGGTCTAGACGGCCCAACTGGGGAGAAAGGAGAACCAGGTGACGAAGGGAGGCCCGGAGCGACAGGATTGCCTGGGCCCATCGGGCTCCCGGGATTCACAGTAAGGCGAGAGGGCCGGGCGTCAAGGGTGTCACAGGCACTGCAGATGAGGGCACAGGAGGAAGGGGCTTCTCACTGGGGCCAACAGCCTAGGGGTGCCTGACACCATACCAGGCTACAGCCTGGGCCTGTCACCTGGCCTGGGGTCCTGATTGGGTTCAAACAGAGTTCCAGCCTCCTCAGTACAGTATGGTGGCCTCTGTCTTCAGGTGCTATTTAACCCAAAAGTGTTGGATCCAAACTTGGAATTCCCCTCTTAGAAGTGGAAAAAGAAGCTAGAGAGGTAGCTCAGTGGTTAAGAGCACTGACTACTCTTGCAGAGGACCCAGGTTGGATTCCCAGCACCAACATGGTAGCTAACAGCCACCCATAACTCCAGTTCTAGGGGATCCAATACTCTCTTCTGACCTCTGTGGACATTGCATGACATTGGTGCACTTATATACATGCAAGCAATACACTTATACACATAAAATAAAAATAATAAATCAAAAAAAAATTTGGTCTTTTTGAGACAGGGTCTCCCTGTAGCCCCAGCTAGCCTGGAACTCACTATGTAGACCAGGCTGGCCTTGAACTCACAGAGATCCACCTGCCTCTGCCTCCAGAGTGCTGGGATTAAACGTGTATGTCACCATGCCTGGCCAAATAAAATATTTTTTTAAAGAAATAGAAAGAGCCAGGGAGGCAAAAACAGGCAAATCCCTGGGGCTTTGCACATACACACATACACACACACACACACACACGAAGTAGAAAGAACCTCAGAGTTCATCCAGTTCCACTTGTGACCCACAGTAGGAATCCCTCAGCAGATTCTGACAGTGGTTGCCCACCCAGCCAAGACAGACAGGCAGCTCACAGCTTCTCAACATACCCACTTCCAAGATGGAAGCCAGGCTGCTAATCTCCCCAGAGATTTTGTGATCTGAGCCCTATTGACTTTCTAGTGATGTATCACAAACTGAACAGCTGAAAACAGCAGGTATTTATCATCACCAACCTCCTGCGGTTCAGAAGTCCGGTCCTGTCAGATTGGGTCCCCTTCCTGGAGTCTCGTGAGATGCAGTCAAAGCATTGACCATCTGTATTCTTACCTAAAGTCAGGGGTCCTCTTCCAGCCCACTGGCTGCTGGGAGGATTCAGTCCCTTACTGAGTAGAACTGAGTCCCCAGCTCTCAGAGGCCACCAACAGTTCCCTGCCATGTGGCCTTCCCCATGGAAGGCAATTCACCTCACAATGGCTGACCTCTTCAAGGTCAGCGAGAGGGTCTTTGTAGAGTCTAGCACTAGCAAGATAGAGCTGTGTGTATGTCTTTGTAACATGTTTGCAAAATAATCTTAACACATGTTATGATTTCCTGTGTATAACACATATACATGGTGATATACAAAAAAGACACAGGAATGACAGGGATCCTGATGCCATGTGCCCTGTCCATGGCTGAGAAACAAGTCACAGTCCACCTCACAGTCTGTCCACTGCAAGATTCAGAACACCAGCCCCTCCTCCCGCCACTAGAGCCTTAGACCCTTGAAAACAGTAGTCACAGTGCCCACTGCAGTCCCCTGTACTGCGGGCTGGCGACCTGCACAGCCCCCAAGGGAGCAGCCCAGCTCCTGCAGCTTGTCACGGATGTAAGGGTGGGCCTGTGGCCAAGCTCCTGGGTGCCTGCACTCACACTAAGGTGTTTTGTTCCCACAGGGAGAGAAAGGAGAAGCCGGGGAGAAAGGTGACCCTGGAGCAGAGGTAGGTCCCCCTGATCTTTCTTTTGTGTCCTGGGTGATCATTTGACAAAGGCCTCATCAGAAGCACCCACTTCTCCAGGTTGCACAGCATCTCTGTGCTCTGGATGAAACTCTAGCTGCCTGACTGGCCAAGGCAGGAAGCTGAGCATCTGTCAGTTGTGGAGCCAGGCCTGCTGCACAGACTCTGGCTGACCAGCCCCAGGAGTACTCAAAGAACACCCTGCAGCTACAGTAACAGGAAAATAAACACAACTGCCTTTCAGTAGCACAAGAGCCATGGTCATTAGGGGTCCAGGCGTGTGTCCCAGAAGATAGGCCATTTGGACAAGGTCTGAATGGCTATACAGGAGTTTATCATGATGCTTCTGAGGTCTGCTCTCTCCAGAAATTCTTAGAGAAGGGTAGAAGTGAGAGGAAGGTGGGAGAAGGGGAGACAGAAAATCAACATGGAGACAGCTTTGCAGAAGACAGCAAGCGTTGTACATACTTGTAATGGGGGGGCAGAGAGCCTGGAGAAGGAGGGAGGGAGAGGATGTTTGGCAGGAAGGCCTGAGCAGTCTAGGAGTATCCCAGAGCAAAAGGAGAGACCACCAAGCTTCATGGTCCCCCACAAAGTCCCCTGGCCTGTCACCCTTTAATGTCATCAGCCCTGTGTGAATCTAGCAAAACTCTCCTTATTTAAAAATGGATGGTGTCCTAAAGAAATGATCCTGAATTCGGGAAAAGCATTCTATACACAATGTTCCTTCCAGAAGTATTACAAGTCAAAATTGGAAACAGACTAGGCGTCTAACAAGAAGGAAAGGATTGAAATACTTAGGTTACAATACTAGTAGTTGCAATGGTCTCCATGATTGAGGGCCTTTCTCTTGCCAAGCACCACCTTAGCCCTGGTCAGGTGGCACTTTATTCTCCTGCTCAGGGACCAGTATGTCACCAAGGAAAGAGGCTCATGGAAAATACACCAAGAAAAATAGAGAAATGGTTTTCACATCAAATATAAAAGACCAGAAAGCCAAATTATATTTATGTTTCCTCATAAGTACATAAATATATTCAGCTGTGGTTTACATAGCCAAAAAGCTGGAAAAATAAGGTAATATATTAACAGTCCTCCTCAACTAAATAAGCTAGAAATGTGTTCTTTTTCTTTCAATTTTCTTTTATTTACAAACTATTCTAATGAGCATATTACTTTTTAAATATTAAAAAAAATTGTCCAGGTAAAATGGGTTATGAGGGAGTGCTTAGAAGTTTAATATAGGTATAGGTTTCTATGATAAGAACAGTAAACATGATTTGTATATGTGTGTGTGTGTGTGTGTGTGTGTGTATGTGTGTGTGTGTTTCTGGGGATTGAGCCTTAATGCATGCTAGCCAGGTGTTCTACCACTAAGCTACAGCCCCAAGTCCAAGTGTTCTAGTTTCATCTCTGTTACTACGATAAAATACCCTGACAAAAAGCAATTTAGGGAGGGCTAGAAAGATGGCTCAGTGGTTAGGAGCACTGGCTGCTCTTGCAGAGGACCCAGGTTCAATTCTCAGCACACACATGGCGGCTAACAACCATCCATAACTCCAGGGCCAAGGGATCCAATGCCCTCTTTTGGCCTCCATGGGCATTGCATGACATGGATACACTTACACATATGCAGACAATACACTCATGTACATAAAATAAAAATATAAATTTTTTAAAAAGTAATTCAGGGGAGAAAGTTTATTTTAGCTTACAGTTCAGGTTACAGTTCATTACTGCAAGAAGTCAAGGCAGTAGAAACCTGGAGCAGTCACATCACATCCATGATCAGGAGCAGAGCACAGTGAATGCACACTTGCGTGTACTCAGCTCAATTTCCCAACTCTTGCATAGTTCAAGACCCCTGTCTAGGGATGGTGCCATCCGCAGTAGGCTGGATCTTCCATTAATTAACTTGTTAGTCTCTCGTAGACATGCTCATAGGCCAAACCAATGCAGACAGTCCCTTGATGAGTCTCTTCCCAGGTCATCCTAGGTTGTGTCAAGTTGACGATTAAAAACTAACCACCACACCAAGCAAAGGAAACTTTTTTCACAGAAGGTAAAGTTCCTAAAGATTGTGTTCTCTACAAGGAAACTGTCATGAACAGAAAAGGCACAGTCCATGAGATATGGGGGCTTGCCTATCTAGACTGAATCTCTTTCATTGCACTTGCCCTTGTTGGAAACAAAAACAACTGTCTTCGGCCTGTCTATTACAAACCTGGAGAGGGGCTGATCTTGAAGAATATTCTTCAAGGGGCCAGACATGATGGTACATATCTTTAATACAAACACTTGGGAGGCAGAGGCAGGTGGATCTCTGAGTTCAAGGCCAGTCTGATCTACAGCCAGCTAGCCAGGGCTACATAGTAAGAGTCTGTCTAAAAAAGAATTTTTTAAAAGAATTTCTCCAGGGACATCTCAGGCTCCCCTGATTCCAGATAACAAATCTCTACTCCCTTAAGCCAAGGACTCAATGTCTATGGGATCTAGATAACAGATGAATACCAAGAGGTCAGAGTTGAAGATAGCAGGCAGGGTGTGGAAGAGTCTGGACCCACTGCAGATGCATGCCCACCTGGAAGAAACTCCTCATGGCAGTTGCTGTCATGTACAAACATGAAATGAATCTGCTACTACTAGATAGACTGTTTTTTAGGAAAAACTGGAGGAATAGATATTCTGTAGACATTTCCTAGAAATACTTTCTTTCCAACATTGTATGAGGTCAATGACTTGCTATGAGTTTCTGTCCCAAGCTGTGGAAGCTGTGTGTTGGCCTGACCTTCAGTGGTAGTCCTATTGTCCTGTGACCTTGAAGTCTCAAGCTGGACCAGGGTCATGTCTAGAGGGAGGACCATTTGGAGTATAATACATATTCTCTTTGGCTTCTAGATTCCTGGGCTGCCAGGGCCAGAAGGACCTCCTGGACCACCGGTAAGCTTCAAGGACTTGGTAGCATTTCGGTTGTTGGGGTTTGATCAACAGTGTCCCCTCCCCTTGGCCGCCTCTGGGCTCAACGTCAGCCTTAAGTCTCTGTCACCTGCTCTTCCCAGGGAAGAGCTTTCTCTTCACAAACCCTCCTTGCCCCTCTTCCCTCCCAAATTAAACATGTCATCCCTGGTCTGGGCATGGTGGCTCGCACCTTCAGTCTCAGCACTTGGGAGGCAGAGGCAGGTAGATCTCTCTGAGATCGAGGCCAGCCTGGTCTATAAAAACACAACAAAACAGTAAGGATGTCATCCCAGTGACAGATACCCAGGGACCTGCGTTACCTGGTTGACTGGCAGCCATTGATGAGCTCTGTCACGATCTCTGTAGCAATCTCTGTCATGAGCTCTGCCCAACATGTACTTAACCCTTTTCTATCAAACATCTGTTCTTCACCTTCCTTCTTCTAGCCAGTAAGAAAATATTGATGTTGTCATTTTAAGTGACCCATTAAAACCTGCCCCACTGAATGCAACTAGCCCCAAGCAGTTCAGACCAACAAGTGCTGGTCCATACCTCTGTATAGTCCAGGATACCCATCACTTTCTGGGTCACCCACTATACTAGTAACAATAAAGATAGTCACCACCATTTAATGCAACCTGCTACATTCCAGATGCTGCTCTAAGCGCTTTGTATACATCCGTTCATTTAGTTTTCACTGTTTCTTCAGTCTTCCCTTCATGAGACTCTTAAGTCAGCTGTGGGAGACCACAGAGAGATTCGCTATCATCAGCCCCTGTCTAGGCAGATAGTTCTGACTCTACCCCAGGAAACCCCAAGCCAGAACCTCTTTAGCATTCTTATGAGCTGGGACCTCAAACCACAGTCTGCACCCCAAACCCTTGCTATTCTGTGGTCAGATAGAAATGCAATTCTAATGTGCCTTGTTCTGATTCCAAATGCAGGGCCTCCAAGGTGTTCCTGGACCAAAGGTAAGAAGAGATCATGTGACTTGGGTGGGTGGGGATGCATCCTGAACAGCAGAAAGTAACTCGGGGGCCCACCTGATTATTCTCCCTAGAGGACATATGTGCCCAGCCAGTGGAGGGCCACTGGTGCAGAACGAAGCCCTGTGGTCCCTCTAGCATCCACCACTGGCACCTGGCTGCTTTAGTATGTAGAATTTCCCCATCCATCCCTTGACTCCACAAAGTGACAGGCTAGATGCTTAGTGAATGGTCAAACCCTTTTTCCAGCTCATTTTCCCCAGGTCCTCTCTTTACCTGAAGTAGGGTAAGATAGACAGAGATGAAATGTGGGACCCATCCCCAAGTCAAGGAACTGACCTCTGGGCAGGGACTCTCTCAGTCTCTCTGGAAGCATCCAAGTGAATAAGGGGGGGTGGAGGCTGGAAACGTGAGTGTGGCCCTCCCGTCTACCCTGCCACTCTTTAGGGAACCTTGAGGAAGTTTCTTTTCCCACTGGTTTGTGAGCACAGAAGCACCAATGGTGGCATTGCAATTCATTGCCAGCAAACCCTGCAAGGTCCCAGTGTTCCTGCCCCACACATGGTCATCTCTAGCAGTTCTGGCCTATGTGTTGACCCCATGTCACCTACCCCATTTCCTTGTGAGGAGATCAGAGCACTCCAAAGGCTGTAGCTAAGGTCACTTATGGATTCTGGAGTCTCCACCCTACCACCCCTGGCCAAGCCACCTCCACCTCCTTTACAAACCTCCTGCATCTCTAAGACCTCAGGACAAAGCAATGAGCTGTCTGTGGCATGCCCTTCTGTGATCTCCTCCCGTCTCCCTTTGCTTCAGGGAGAAGCAGGCCTAGATGGAACCAAAGGAGAGAAAGGTGCCCAGGGAGAAAAAGGAGACCGAGGGCCTCTGGGGTTGCCTGTAAGTACATTGGGGCCTGTGTGTTTACTGGGAGGAGCCCTGCTGGATAGGCCCAGCCCACGCTGCAGTGCTGGGCAGGGACCAGGGAGGACATGGCTGGAAAACTCCGGGTCTAAACTTCTGAGCATTCCATGTGCTGAGGGTCTTCTTTTTGAACCAGGAAGGAGCTCAGGTCCTCTTCATCTTTCCTAGGCTTTCCCAGGCCACATCTTAGTGCTGGAAGAATGAGAGGCTAAGTAAGGCAGGGTCCCCACCCAAAGAGCATCCCTATGAAGAAGCAGAAAGGACTTGGGAGCACTAGGGCAATGGGCTATTCTCCTTCTCTCCCCTCTCTCCCCGAATAACTCTAAGGGAAGCCCTGCTCTTTCCTGTTATGTATTAGCCTCAGAATATGGCATGTGTAAAGTCAGCTCTGTGGTCTCAGCAAACTAAGACAGTTCCCACTGGGGCTCCAGAGGCCTATGATCTTAGCCATATAGAGCTGGAGGCCCCTTATTAGCCACTGAGGGCTGCTTCTAGGCTTCTGGTTGTTCAGAGGTACAGACCGGGATGGGTGAGTCCCTTTTTCCCATCTGTCACTCTGAGTCACTCTCCTTTGTAAGAACTAGGATAGAGTTCAGCAAAACATCCAAACATCTCACTGATGGTCACTTGAAGTCACAAATGAAGATGGTAGCTGGACTGAGCCAAAGGCTGCTCCTCCACTGAGGTCACAAGTGGCTTCCTCTGTCCCCAGATCAAGGCCAGTCCCTACTCCCAGTAGCTGTAAACAGCAGAGGAACCATGAGAAGTCAAGGACCCCATTATACAGAGCCCAGGGGTCTGGCTCATGCAAACAACACATAACAGGCAGAGGGGTCGTTTCCTCCTGACTCATATAGCAAGCATAGGGAGGGTTAAGAAGCTGATTCGTTTGACAGACCACAGAAAATTGATGGCCTTAGCAGATGCGTTCCTATGTCAGACGCTGGGTCTGGAATGACTGAGTACTTATGGAAGTACACCTTCCTGCCCCTGTCAACTACAAATCACTTGTTGTCTACCTTTATGACCCCAAAAACCCCAGTGAACATAGGAGTCTTGGGTCAGGAGTAGACATGCAAATGACCCAGCAACTCAGCAAGTGACATAAACAAAGACAGTACCAGATGAGTGACAGAGAACCCCCTTCTCTGTTTGAGTCTCCCACTTTTGGTAGAGACATGGGCACAAAGAAATCTCTTCCCTAGTTTGAAAAAAAACAAGCAAAGGTCTGGGGAGATGGCTCAGTCAGTAAAGTGCTTGCCTCACCAGTGTGAGGACCTGCGTTCAGATCCCTAGAACCCATGTAAAAAGCTGGGTGGCAGCAGTGTGCAACTGTAATCCCACAATGGCAAGATGGGAGATAGAGACAGGCAGATTCCTGGAAGCTGGAAGGTAGGCTGGCTAGCCTGGCCGGCATGGAGAAGTTCTGAGCCAATGATGGACCCGGTCTCAAACAAAAGCTGCAAGGTGCCCAAGGAATGAGGCCACTGGAGGTTGTCCTCTGATCTGCACACATGCTCTGTGCATGCACACAGCCACACCTACACAAGTGCACATACATACCCATACCATACCTGAAAAACCCAAAAGAAGTAATTGAACAAGCTTATTCATAGAAGGCGGCTCACATGGACTTCAGGAGCACATTAGGCTGTGGTAGTTTCTGTGGTACCCTGGAAATGACGTGGCCCTTCTCAGGGGAGAAACTTAGCTTTTAGTTCAGCTGAGCTTGGCCTTGAGAGGGGGAGGCCTGAGAGCCCAGCACATTTGGATCTTCCAGTGTTTATGAATCTCCCCCATTTTCTAGCATAAGCTCAAAAGTGTTTGCAATTCTGGGGACCATAGCAAATATGCTGTGGGGCTCGCCATGGTCCTGAATGCCTTGGTTTGTGCCTTCTGTCCCAGACCTCTCAAGAGAACTTGGCAACTGAGTCTGCAAAACGCACAGCTGCCCAGCTCCCAGCTGTTTCTAGGTTCTACCTGAATGTCAGCAGCCCTTTGGTAGCAGCCTCATTTCCAGACCTTTCTATCTGACCCACCCCCCATCACTTTACCTTTCAGAAGTAGCTCTTGATGCTGCCAGCACACTGGATGGAGTGACCTGGGAGCTTTTCAGACACGCAGTGACCCATGGTCCCCACTCTTGGAGACTTGTAGAACTGGGCCAGGATAGGACCCAGGCATCCACATTGTAATCATGAACCCAGGAGACACACATGTACAGAGTTGAGAGTCTCAACTCTAGGCTGGGATCAAAGTCAGGCCCAGAATTTGTGTTCCTAATGCTGAAAACACAGCCTTGTAGAATCCTCCTCCCCAGCACCCTTTCCCAGAGGAACAGCTCCTGGCACTCCCTCCTCTGTGTCATGTGCACACCTCTTCTGGAGTACCCCCCCGCCACACACACACACTCTCCTTCACAATCCTGAGACTGAGGCTAGTTTCTGAGGCTTAGTTGGAAGTAATTTTTAAAGTACTCCATCCTAGCCGGCTAGACTGTCCCCAGCTGCCTCCCCCTGGATTTGTCACACTGGACTCTTTGGAGAATTTCCTGCCTGTTTTTCCTAGGTGGGGGGCAGTGACAACTTGAGAGTCTGACACTGGTAAAAGACTTCCATTCCCACAATGTGTCTTACTGAGCAGCAGGGAGAGATGAGGCCACAGGGCTTGTGGGCTGAGTAGCATTCCGCTGCCTACCCATTTCCACGGAAATGTGGCTTTAGACGTATGCTCCTGCCAGCTGCGTCCAAAGCCTGTTTCTGTAAAAGGACATTTGTTTGCAAGCATGGGAATGCATGAGTTTGTGTCTAACTGTAAAGGGCCAGAGAAATGTCAGACATTGTCAGTATCATCATTGAAGGGTCACCTCCTCCCACCCAGCTGAAGTGGGACCAGTTCTGCTTCTATCCAGATGTCGAAAGTAGGGCCAATGAGAGGGTTGTGAGGAAAGGCACTTGCTGCTCAGCCAGATGACCTGAGTTCGATTCCCAGAACCCACATGGTGGAAGGAGAGAACTGATTCCCACAAGTTGTCATCTGACCTGCACAGACACACACATACACACACACAAATAAATAAAATGTAAAAAAATAAAAGCAGTTGGGGCTGGAGAGATGGCTCAGTGGTTAAGAGCACTGACTGCTCTTGCAGAGGACCTGGGTTCAATTCCAAGCACCCACATGGTGGCTGTGAATCGTCCTTAACTCCAGTTCCAGGGGAATCCGGAGCCCTCTTCTGACCTCCGCAACATTGCACAACATGGGTACACTCACTTACATGCAAGCAATACACTCATACACATAAAAATAATAAATAAAGCCGGGGATGGTAGCGTACGCCTTTAATCCCAGCACTTGGGAGGCAGAGGCAGGCAGATCTCTGTGAGTTCAAGGCCATCCTGGTCTACATAGTGAGTTCCACGACAGCTGGGGCTACAGGGAGACCCTGTCTCCAAAAGACAAAAAATAAATAATAATAAATAAAATATTTTTTAAAAATAGTCCTAAATCTCTGCCCCTGGGGGTAAGGAATTATAGAATGTGCTGCCTCCATAGGGGTACAAAAGAAACTGGGACACACACCCCGAGATGCTCTCCATAGGGACATGTCCTCCCTAGTAGCCCATCCTGGGGAGCACAGTTCTGGCTGCACATGTTACTCCAGGAATTCCTTTATTCCCTTCCCTGGAGCACTAAGGTACCCTGGGAAAAAGGTTCCTAAAGAGTAGAGGGAGAGAGGGGACAGGGGCTGCGGAGGGTCAGAGCAGCTGTCCGCATGGCTCGCACCAGCTCAGCAGCCAGCCACAGCCCTCAGTGTCTCCGTGTTTTTGTTGGTTTCCATGTAAACACATCCCCTGTCCTCCCAAGCTTATTCTCCCATTGTGTTTATTGCCAGCATTTATGTCTGTCCAGAGTCACCGCTTTACTTACCTCTTCCCTCCCCGTTGTCCCTTTTTTCTCCCTCCCACTCCTCCCTTCCCCTCCTTTTGGTCAAATTGTGCCCTTCGTCCAGGGAGCTTCAGGTTTGGACGGCAGGCCTGGGCCACCGGTGAGTGTCACTTCTCCATCACCCCTTCCCTGCCCCATCCCTGTCCTATGATCCCTCATCTGTCCCACTGTGGCCTCATTTCCTCTCAGTGATCATGCTTTGTCCCACCACAGACCCAGACAGTCCTATCCATGCCCACATCAGAAGCACTTTTTCAGGACTCTAGCCCACAGAAGGCCAGCCTTCATCGGAACTCCCCTTTCTAACTGTGCACTCGGGGACCTTAGATCTGCCAGGCATGGGTGGGAGGGGTCACTCTAGAAACCCAGGCCCTGACCCTGAAGGATGCCAAGCCCAGCCTGGGAACCCTACCCTTGGGCTTGAACCATGACGTGTCCCTAGCAAACACAAGTGTCTATGTTCCTGTCACTCTGTGTTGTCATCCTGCTGTGAGCTCTGTCCATCTTCTGTCTGCCCATGAGGGCTTCCCAGCCATATCCTGCCACCGACCTGATGTGTATGGGTAGGTAGTGTGGAAGGGTCAGGATGGGGAGCATGTAGGAGCACAGGGGCCAGTCCCGGCTCTGTGTTCCATGGGTATGTTTTGATTATACTGTTCACCATGAGCTAGATGCCTAAGCCACCCTACCGCCCAACAAGAGGTTTATTACAGAGCAAGTGAGGGATAGCCAGACCCTCTCTTTCTCTGTTCTTCCTGATTCCAGAAAACAGACCTTACCTACTCTTGCCCTGCAGGCAGCCTTTCTACAGGTACAAATCCCTGAAGTGTCCAAAAAGCATCCCTCCATTTTACCTCCAGTCCCCAGCGACTACTGTTACCAGCACTGACTGTCCAGGATCAGGGCATGGGATTTCCCAGCTTAGAAGCCATACCAGGGCTATGTGCCGGCCAACTTTCAGCCAGCCAGCCCAGCTATGCCTCAATGGCTACTTCCAAAGTCCATCAACCTGGGAAGTCAAGGCTCTAATGACTAGAGTGGCACATGGGAGAGAGGAGAGCTTGCCGGGGTCCCTTTGGGGAAGAGAAGCTAGGGGTGGAGAATAAGGTAAAGCCTAGAGCTTCCAGAAGTAGGAGTATGCACAAGTGACCCGTCAGAACCTCATCCTACTAAAGGCCTGCTCTGTGTCCTTGTAAAGAAGAGGAACTGAACCAGGAAGGGTTCCTGTTTTGCCAATAATTGGGCATCACTTCTTAGGTGTCAGGCCCAGCATTTGTGCATTTAGCTTTAGAGACCTGGGAACACTTCCCCACCCCCACTCCCAGGTTCCCTTTCTATATTTAACCAGAGGAAGCAGAAGGTGTCAGACTGAGGAATTCTAGTCCTGGAGTGTGTGGGCCTTTGAGATAGCCTAGCTCCACTCCTGCTCTGATCCACGACCCTAATCTGGACTCGTACTTTTTGTTGTGCCCTAGCTAAGGATGCCTACACAATTCTTCCTCATAGATGTACACAAGATACCAAGGATCTTCTCACAGCTCTTTTGTTTCCTGTAAAGCAAATCCATTCTCCCTTGTACTCACACCCACCTTCTGGTGCTACACTGAGTACCAAACAGTGCTCACAGGCCCAGCTCTACACCCCATGGCCTCATCTAGGGTATATAAACACTGAGGCCAATAGACAGGAGGCAGCAAAGTAAAAACTTGGTCTAGTCTGGCCACAGATAGGAACCTAGGGAAGATGCTTGCTGATGCTATAGCAAGCCAGGCTCTGTCTCCAAGCAACAGGCTCTAGTGGTTGCAGCCCTTGGCTTGCTGCCCCACCCTCAGCAACTCAGAGCCCTGGGTTAGGAGAGCTCCTGCCCCTACTCCTTGAAAGCCAGTGTGGTCCTGACATTTGAGGATACTAACTCCTAGCTATCCAGCCTATTCTGAAGGTGTGGGGGTCTTGAGGGGTCTGCAATGGATGGGGGAGGGGTGCTGGATAGCCCTCTCATGCCTGCCTCTCTGTGTATGTCCGCATCAGTCTCTATGGCATGAAGACCCTTCTGCTGCATGTGGAGCTGTGACAGTAAGGGGGTGTTGGCCCTAGGCCCCCACTCCTGGGATGGGGTCACCTTCCTCCCCAGTGCTTCTTGGGAGCAAACCAAGCAACCATTCTCCTTCTGTTTTCAGCCTTGGCAAGCTTGGCTGCGATTTCATTCCACGAATCTGGCTCCTCCCCGGCCCTTAAATCCAAAATGGATCATGGCCCAGTCAAATGACCTTCAACAAGCCTGGCCTCGCCAACCCTGAAAACCAGGCCTCAGGCTTTGCACACCCTCAGGGGGATGGGATTCTTAGGGCTGCCCCAGGAATGGGACGCCTCACCTGTACTTTCTTTCACCTCCCTAGGGTACTCCAGGACCAATCGGAGTTCCAGGCCCAGCTGGACCAAAGGGCGAAAGGGTGAGCACTTAATGAGCTAGGATCCTGGGAGGCCAGGAGGGAGGAGCCCATCAGGCTTGTTCAGCCCCTGTTCACAGGATCCAGCCCCAGGTGTTTCAGCTTTCACCCCTTCCCCCATCCATCACTCATGGCAGCCTGAGGGAGCCAGGCAGATCTGAGGGAGAAGAAAACCATCTTGTGGCTATAAAGGGACAGAAACAGACGTGACGTGAAAAGCCCCTCCCGTCTGCCAGTGCTGTAGAATCAGTCACAGTTGGTCACAGTTATTAGATTTCTCAGAGACACGGGTCTGTTATCATCATTTAGAGAAACAGTATGGGAAAGAAGGCCAGGTGAGATTTAGAAAGTCCCCAGAGAGGACATCAAGAAGTGAAGAGGTCAGAGCAGAAGGCAGGGCTCCCACAGTCACTGTTGAGTGGCCTCAGCCAAGGTATATGATATCTGAGGTCCAACTCCATCTGTCATAGAAAGGGGCCTGTGAGAGGATGAGAGTGGCAGGAGTTAGCTAACCAGAGGCCTCTGATCCTCTCTGCCAGCCACGTTCCCACACACCCAGAACTAGGCATTCCTGGAAGGTAGGCTCCAAGCATCTGTGGCGCTCTCTGCCCTCTTTTCTCCCTCTGCCCTCCTACTGTCCCAAGGGAGGCTTGAGGTTCTGAGGTAGGAAGCTTCTACAGAGAGCATGGGCCTCTCTGAGATCACTGGTCACCTGGCTGCTCTGGGATGGCAACCCAGGCTTCAGGGAAGAACTCAAAGTTCTTTTTCCTCTCCCTCAGGCCAGCCAATACCCCTAGGAGGTTGTCTATCCCTTCCTGGGAGTCTCAGGGAGCAGGTTGTACTGAAGAGACAGGGAAGGGCTCACCAGGGGCACCCCACCTTGCACACACACTTCACTTTCTGAGGGCTCTTGGGGAAGGGCAGGGAGATTTCCCCAGGTCCCAATAGTGAAGTAGGAAAAGTGATGGGTGTCCCCATGGCAGGGAGGGCTCACAGGTGCCTTTATCTGTTTCAGGGCAGCAAAGGAGACCCAGGGATGACTGGACCAATGGGAGCAGCTGGACTTCCTGTGAGTCTCATAGGACCAGAGGGTGTCTCTGCTACCCACCTCCCCACCTACTAGAGGCAAGGTCAAAACAGACAGCCCAGAGTCTAGAAAGCAGACCTGGGGCTGAAGGAGAATTCTCATTTCTATAACAGAGAAGCCGCCCAGAGTTAACTGAGGAAGAGCTAGAAGTCCCTGTGGTACAGGGGACAGGTGCTCAGTCATTGAGACCAGCTCACAGATGTAACAAGACATCCAGAACCTTCCCCTTTAGCCCCTGCATCTGATACAATAGGGTCCCCAGATGACTGTGCCACCACCCCTACTCTT